AAAGAAATGTTTTGAAAATGAAAGAAAACAATAATTTATTGTAAAGATACCGAAGTATATAAAAGAAACGCAGAGACATATATGTAATATATTAAAGCGTCATTAATCATAAACTTATTATTAAATTATATATTTGCCAGGATAAGCAACGACGTCCAAGTCAATATATAGGCGTACGCAATTACGTTTCAATGTATTTTTCTAATCGTACTATCTTCTGTATATTTTTCAAACTATTTCAAAATCACATCCTTCGAGGTTTGAATCTCTGGTTGGCTGAAACACGTAGTAATTTATGTGGAACTTCCAATACTTTCGTATGCGTAACTGGTATTTTGATACTTTTAATATATTTTGATACTTTTTTTTTCTTTATTTCACCTGTTATATATATATAAAGAGAGAAAGATTTTTTTTTTTTGGTATTCACGATAGAAACGTAAGCGTTTAGCACGGATCTCGTGAGTTGAATCTGATTTTTTTATATAATTGTATTAACGATTTTATTTATACCGTCGAAGAAACGACACCGTGTTAGCGCAGTGAGCACAGATTTATATTTAAAAAAAGATGAAGAAAACGAACAAAAAGAACGATATAATACGAGACTTTCTACAGGAACAGTGTTCATTTTACAACGACAGGACAGCACATGTTATACATATAAAACTGTCAAAAGTAGTAAAAGAGGGGGGGAGATACGTTCGTTCAAAACATGTGCGCCTATCGTGCTAACTTTTCATTGTACATTACCTTATTACTATTAAGATACTAATGCGTTTTCCATTGGAAAGATGCATAAAAAGGAAATACATTTTTATGCATATCTCCAACGGTGCCATCGTTTCAATATTTTTTCTACGGAGTAGAGTTTACAGAGTTTAGCAACCTGGTTGAAGGTTCTTTCATCTCCCCGTAGTGCAACAGAGATCGAGAGAGTACACCATATTGCGTTAAAAATGTTATGTAAAAATTACAAATGCGATTTCGCCTTGTGTTCGTTCGACCGTTTATCAGCGACTACGATAACGCGCATTCCAATGCCTGTATAACATCTCCCATGTCAATAAAGAGAAGAATAAATTACAAAAAAGTGATAAATCATTAAAAGAATCAATGAAAATCTATAAATAAAACCTGAATCGAATATCGATCCTTTTTCTCAACCACCGACCTCTCATAGTTTTCCATCGAACCTCGAAACGTCTAGCAACTTGCATCGAGGGCAAAGATGGCTCCGAGCCCCTCACAGCTGGGATCACGCAGAAAATGACAATTTGTCAAAATGTTCGACGCTTCTACCGAAGGTCGAAGAAAGATAGGATAAAGAAGCAACAACTGGGACCCCCTATGGTTTCTCACGAATCCTTGTTGCATCGTCCTCGAACGCGACAATGGCCTGTGTAAAGCACAGAAGAGCATTGGGCTGGCTGGCAAGCCAAGAGCTGCGCAGACAGAAGTCGAACGAGATATGACCGATAATGTAATTATGCGGGACAGGTTTTTTGTGCCGATACTCTAACTTGATCTCTTGTGAGTCTCTCTTTTTTTCTACTTGTGCGTGCCTCTTTCTCTCACCACTAACCTCTCCTCCACCAACGTTTCCTTCTTCTATCTCTTTTCCACTCAATCCTTCTCCTTGTTTCAATTGTTCTTTTTACTTAACCCCCCTTGTCCTTACCCTTTTCCCTTTTCCAGTTTTCCCACTTTCATCGGTTCCTTTCCCTCCATGCTACCCATGTTTCGGAGTTCCCCTACTCTATGGACCTTTCTTTCCGTCTCTCTTACTCATATTTGGGTTCACTTAGCGGGGAGAGAACAGGGAAAAAGGACAAAAGGAGAAGGCGGGCCGACGACGCAGAAACGTAGCACGATCTGGCCGCCGCGCCGCCGTCAGCTACATGCATCGACGTTAGCGCCTGGACTGCTTGCCGGCGGAGCCGCGTATCTGTGTGGGAGCCGGGGTCGTGTGCGTTTGTTCCTGCGGGAGAAGAAGAGGTAAGGTCGACCCATACGAGGGAGAAGGACCGTGTATACAAGTTGCACACGCTGATCAGCCGCGCGAGTACGTTGCAAGGTAAGAGTTACGGCGATAAGTAGGTAGATATTGCGATACATGAGACGAAAGTATATAAAGCTGCGTTGTCCCGACCAATATGGTATAGAACAATTTCAACATTTACGTTATAATAAAAAAAAAGAATTTAATTGAAACGAAAAAAAAAATACATTGTTCTTATTTAGACTTTTTAGCCATATAAGGAACCATCTTAACAGTTTAACAATTAACTACTTATGTATTAAACGAAAAGCAATAAAAAGAAATACACATTTAATACGTTTTAAATACACTGTTAAATTATCCTCATAAAAACATGAGAGGGAACAACAATATTGGATACAATCTATTGGCCACAATTAACAAGCGTAACCGATAGCCGGTTCGATTCTGCAAGCATGATTGGCCAGTGATGCGGCTCGAAACGGGCCAGCGGCGGGTCGACATTTAAAAAGCCGGGGACGGTACGTGATTTTGCGTAATGCCCGGCGTGTACACGACTGTCGGTGGCTCGAATCCAATTAGGTTTGCGACGGTCGGGCAAAAACATTCGATCGGGAATAAACCAGCACCGGGTCTGCTCCTCTCACGGAGACGGCCCTCGAGAGTCGCTTCCCCGTTCGTGAGCCGCGTATAATGTACGCTCGGATCAATTGTACGTTGTGTATCGGCGAAACAGCCTTCCTTCTCCTGCCTGGCTATAATATACAGCGCGATTCTCCCGTGCCAACGGTTTATCGAATATCCCTCTATTTTCGCTTGGCTATTAGAGGCTCGACACCGTATACCAGTCTCTAAAAATTTATTACCCAACGAAGATTCTGATACCCGTGAAATCGATTATCTCCGACTCCACCTTACTTCCCGGTCGACCACTTACCGTCGCGTAAAAACCACGCAAAACCGCCTTGATTTCGATCTGCAAAAAAGTCACGTATTACGTGATACTCTTCTTGCTTGAGTAAGGTATAAAGGGAGAAGAAAAAATATCGAGAGGATGCTTTTATTTTTTTGTTTTCATTTTTCAAGCCGACAAAAAATATTGGGAATTCGCGTGAAGGGCCGTTACCGCTCGCGGTGTGTATCTTTCAATCGACCAAACGAAGTAATAATAGCTCTGCGCGCGTGAGAGATCGTTTCTCTTTTCTGAATTACCCTGTATGCACGCCCGTTTCGTGCACGGTGAAAGAAGGATGAGAAAACATAGCGAAGAAGCAAGAGAAAAACCGAATAGCCGTAAGAGATAACAATGGGCCATTTGTTAGATGGCCCAACCCTCGGACACGCAGCCTACAATGGACACTATATCAACATTTCATTGAGCGTTCTGTTAAACCTGTTGCTTCGTGGATCGAGAACAGCCCTCATCCTCCCTCTGTAGATGTGGACACCGATTTGATCTTTAAAAATGAAGATGTCGCCTTTAGATCTTTCAAGACTTTCCCATCTATGTCAATGACCATGTCACAGGTTTTTGAATGAGGGAAGAAACATGGCTGGTTAAGTCACATCTCTTTAAAATGAATTATCCGGAACACCTTGAGAAAAATTGGCTCGTTTAAGTGACGTAAAAGTTCTCATGAGTATAATCGACGTATATAAAAGTGGAACTGTTCGTCTGGGTTACTATATTGAACGTGATATCGTTGGAGAGCGTCAAATTAAATATAGCTCTTTCCCGAGACACAGAGATCCCGTCGAAGACGGTTCACCACTCACAAACACGGTCCACGACAGCACATCTATCACATATCATGTATTATTCATTGACTGGTCTCCATTCGAACCCTGTGGTCGGAAACAGTAATGCAGTCGCCAGACATCCCATTATTATGAGTCTGTTTTCTACTTTCGCGATGATTTCGGCCGCCTATTCGTCTCGACACACGTAAGTGAACCAGGAATCACGAATGAATGTTGCTACCGTTCGTTAACCGACCAAGACAAATCGTTTTCCTCGCAGAATCTATTGCCGAGAACGTAAAACGTAATTTTTTCGCGATTTCTGAAACGTCAATGACGTTTCGTGAAAACTAGGTTATAGGACACGTTATATAGATGTCTCTCGTGTTTCCCTATAACATATGACGGTAATAAAATATGATCGAAGGCATTGTTCTTTTTTACCAGAAAATAATATATTTACTATAATAAAATTCTAACGATAAAAATAATAAGTAATCATATCATGTTTTAATTGTATGCGTACGTATCGTTAAAATCAATTTTTCTCGAAGATGAATGTAACACCTAAACGAACATTGTATTTTACATTTTCGATGTATTCTTTCATACGATCTATCGCGGGACACCCAGTACATGTCGAGAACGTGTTGCGTACCTTTCGTCAGCTGCACCTGTTTGTAGAAAGTTTCCAACGATCTGGTACGTTCCTCGGAAAATCAATCACGTCGCGAAGAGTTGCTCGTCTCCGTGAGGCGCGAAAAATGTTTGCGGCCTGACCGACCACAAGCGGTAAAGTGTAAAATCGTGCATGTCGTATATACTACGGCACCTAACAAGCCGGCCTTTGTAACGGATTGCAAAACGACCATGGAAATATGGTCGAACATTCGACGGGAAGAATACCGTACTAAGTAAGGGCTTGACCAAAAGATCGACGAAATACCATCATGAAAACCGCTATTCTCTCAGAATTTATTTAATACAAAAAAAAAATGTTACGTAATAAAAATTACTTGTAACTGAAAAAGAATTATTTTTTAATAAAAAAGCTCGACTAATCTGCACTCAATTTTTTTATGGCTGTTCCATTATGCGAAGTCCTTAATGCGCGATTAAAATTCAGAAGCGACTCTCCGAGCCTTGTCGCGAATTATTCGTGACTGATAATTCCATCCCGACGAATCGTTCTCGATCGTTCACGTTCGATCGGTTTCCGACACCTCACGGATTGTTCGAAAGATTTAAGAACAGCCAAAAGACGCCGATAAGTTAATGGCAATCCATGGTATCAACCTCGGGGAACAAAGTCCAAACTGCAACAGTGAATTCTCTTTGCCGAATGCAAAGATAGGCGGGGAGTGGTCGAGGGGAGGGAGAATAGAAGACGAACTATACGAAAGAGAATGGGAGAAGAAACGAAGAGGAGGACCCCGGCCAAAGACGTTTAAAAACTGGTTCCTTCCACCCATTTCTTTTCACCTTATTTGCTAATCCGAATTCTGATTTCCATATATCCGCGTATACGATATTCGAGAGCCCGGGGAGATCGGTATCGGTCGGTAGACCGTAAAATATGTCGACGGGACTGACTCTGATTTAACAGATAAATACCAGATGCTTATCTCCGTGTAAAGCGTGTCTGTCTTTAATAAAATCGTCTATAGACTTACCGGATATCTAGGAAATTTGTAGCACAATTGTTACGCGGATAATTACACTTAAACCGATTCTCCATGTCTTCAGTGATTCGATCGATGTGATCGATAACTGTCGTTTGCTAATTGGACCGCCATAATGCAATTAAGCAGTCGATTAGTAGAAGAATCGATTGATCGCGATCACGGTCAAACAGTGACGATGCACTTTTAAAATGTGCAATTATGATTTATGAAGAATTATTATTTTTCAATCTCGTTTCTAATAATTGTATAATATTTTCTCTTTATGAATAATTAAATTCACAATACCAAAGCACTTTAATACATATTCAATACTCGTGAAAATACCATTTTTGAGCACGATTTAAATTTCTATTACATCAGTGAAAAATATCGAGAGGATCGAAGATAAGTGGGAAACATGCGATAATGGTCGATTCATTATCGATCAACTTTCAATGAGAACGATCAATATCGATCCCGCGAATCGTTGTGCGCGCACCCTTATCCCCGACCGTATCGGGACCCCTTAAGAGATAGAGATCTTGCTCGCGGTCTCACGGCAAGAAGACGGGCTGCTGTAGGAGGCCTTTTCTCATTGAGTCAGTCAGTCAGTCAGTCAGTTTGCCGCAGCGACGCGGCCCGTACGCACGTGTGTATGCGCGTCTTGTTAACTTTAACGTCGCGCGACCGACCGGCTGCATTATCGACAGAGTAGCCAGAGAGAAAGAGGAGCCGCGGCGGAGCATCGGCAAAATTGGTCGTCGGTCAACCGGTCGGTTCATTCGATCCGCGAACTGCTCGAGTCGATCCCCACTGAACCCGCCGCGTTGTGTCAGCTCGTTAGATTGTGTGCATGAGAACGTGCCCGTTCGTCTCGAGTCTCGCCGTGAAATCCCGAATTTCACGCGTCGAATCACGGCGTGTTCCTTCGGTCTGCACACACCGAAACGAGTGAACGGCACGCACGCACGAACGAACCGTGAAGAAGAACAGAACAGCACAGCGCGGCGGACAGAGAAAGAAAAAGAAAGAGAGAGAGAGAGATTTACGTAGCCACCAAGGAGGGCTAGTCATAAACCGTGCAACACCTGGCGGCACGTCGTTAATTATGCAGTGGGCCGCAGCCGCCCTGGCCTCGGCGGTGATCGCTCTGCTTCTGGACACGGCGGCCGCGAGGCATCACCATCGTTCCGGCAATGGGCACAAACCAACCGGTGACATCTCCCTCTGGATCGACCAGCAACAGATCAAAATGTTCAGCGGTAAGTCACTCCCAGCGTATACCGGTACTACCGCGCCAGACAGGTCTACTTGTGCCTTCGGTGGTGCGATGTTGTTTTTTTATCTCTTTTTTTAGAGAGAATTCTGTTAGATGTTTTTAATAGTATTTTTTTAGAGAATTGTACTGAAATTTCTAAAGTGTGTCTACCTGGTACATTGATCCGATGGTGTTGCCGTTTCTTCGAGATACTGTTGTGACATTAATTATCGTCTTATATCTTGAGGAACTTTGTGTTACTTTTTATATGCTATTTTATTGTTTCATTGTTACATAAATGATTCGTACACCTATATTATTCTATTACACTTAAGTGAAAGTATTGTAATTCATTTTATGAAATGATTTCAACGATAGTAAAATAGTAAAGTTTGACAAAGGAGATCAAATCGATCTTTTTCTTTTTTCTTTTTGTTACGTGTAGGGGTCGAAATGGAAATATTCGCGATTACCGAGGGTAGAGTCTTGTCTTATCTGTTGGATCCAGAATTCGAGAGCAAACTTCCGATGATTCCAAGCGAGGTAACGTATGTGAATTTCACATGGAAATCTGGTGTTAAAAAATACGTCTATAACTTTTATCGACTGAAATCGTTTGATGAATCGATCCTGAAAACTCCATCTATCACAATCAAAACGCAAGGAAGAGTCCCCAGGAGACCCAAGGGTAATTTTTTTTTTTTTATTTATTTGAATAAATAAAATAAAATTGTTTTCCATTAAATCAAAGAAATATGTTAGATCGATAAAAAAAAGAAAGAAAGAAATGAATTCAAAATATACATTTATATAATATTTGTTGTCACAGAATTCAGCGTGCTATTACCCTGTTCCGGTAATAATTCGGGCATTGCGCAATTGGGCATCGGTCTGATGATTGAATCACGTAAGGGGAAACCTTTAAACGGGACACCCCTTCGACTTAACCTGAGAAAAGAATGCACCGTGCGCGGTGAGTGCGTAAATCGCGCCCACGATCACCATCTCTCCATTCACACAGACAGTTCTGTATCAGCAATAATTCATCGCCTAATTTGCTGCACGTTTCGATTGGATACAATCGAAATCTGAATATTTTTCAGCGCGACGAAATATTTTCTCGCAAAAATAGTGACAAAAAAAAAGTGAAATGTGTACAATATGTATAAGGATATTTATATATGACGATGAACCATAATAGAAAAGAAAGAAACTTTAAATAGACGATGATTTCGATTGTTTCCCTATTTGATCGATGCACAAGGCATGCCTTGTGCATTGAACTTGATAAAAATATGATTTGCAAGAAGCTTTGACCGCGTACAATGCTTTTTTATCAGTATGGAGAAGGGTTCCCTATTAAGTAATTAATTAATTAGCTTTTTCGGCCGAATGAACGCATGACTTTGTTCTGGCTTGATGATATCCTGAAATTTCTGTTAATGAAAGCTATCTCTTAAATGACTGAAGCATTCCTTAAACGACGGTCAACGTATGCAATTGCGATTATCTGTTTACATTTAAGTAGACGTAGCGGAAAATAATCGGTCAATGCTTCTTGTGTTACTTTGCGATAAACGGTGATTGTTTCCGATATAGGGGTAAAGGGTAAATTGAAATTTATGCATGTAATATTCTTGAAATGCCTCAAAAAATAATAGAATAATCTTTGATGCTTGGTAATACTCTATATAAGCTTATATACTGTTACTAAAGAATACATTTGAAATCACACTTATACTCTTTAAATTCTATACTCAATATTAATATTATAGAAGTTGAAATTTTTCTATATATAATATTTTTCATTGCAGAACCTAATCCTGGACCTTGTCCAGATGGATATTTAGGTCCACCTAATTGCAACAAAGCATTGTGTTATCCAAATTGTATGAATGGTGGCAATTGTACAGCTCCTGGTATTTGTTCATGTCCAGCAGGATTTCAAGGACCATACTGTGAAGGAGGTACTTTGAAATCAAAATGAGATGTATAAAAGAGGCAATATTTTATTCAGATAAACCTAAAATAATACTTGTAGAGAGGACATTCTATTAATGTTTCATATTTATACTGCACTAACAAATTATATTACTTTTGATATTGATATAGCTGTTTTACAGCCAAACTTAATAATATTTGTTAAAGCTTGATAAAATGGTGCTTGTTCTGCACCATGATCTATACCAGTGTCATGATGTTCTTGCTCTTCATCTCTGAATTTTTTAATAGTTTCTAATATCTCCTCATCTATTTTTTCACTGCTTTCCATCAGAGTACGTAGTTGGTCATTGTAATGCTCTGTGATCACAGTTTCAACAGCTACAGTGCAAGCCATAGCTGCCTTTTCTCCCATAAGTGCTGTACCAGCACCAAGAACAAATCCAGCCACATTCCAAACTGGTGTTAGTACAGTTGGCCTTACACGATATTTTCTAATCAAATCTTCAAATTTTGCACGGTGTAGCTTTTCTTGATCCCACATATGCTGAATAGTTGGGCCAACAGGAGTCCTACCTGCCTTATATACCCATATTAAACTTAAACATTTTCTGAACAAGCAGCTACATCCTAATATATTTACAGCATATTTATACCTAAGACAGCCATTTGTCCAGCATATATTCTATCAGCTCCCAATTCTCCAGCATGATCTACTCTTATAATTGAATCTAACAGTTTCCCTGATTTAGTTGACCCCGAAGCTGTTGATGTACTAGCAAATCGAATTCCAAGCTGCCTTAGATGCAGCATTTTTTTCTATAAACTTTAAGAAAGGACTTTGGTTCAAATTTTTATGAAACCACAATTAATTTTAGGTATATGTGCAGAAAAATGTTTAAATGGTGGGAAATGTGTCCAGAAAGATACTTGTGAATGTCCAAAAGGTTACTTTGGATTACGTTGTGAATTCTGTAAGTGGTAGATATCTACCAATAATATTTAGAATGTCAGTAATACTTTTTTATGTAACAAATGTATCATGTTTCAGCAAAGTGTGTAATACCCTGCTTAAATGGAGGGAAATGTAAAGGGAACAATGTATGCAGATGTCCTGCAGGTTTTAAAGGTGACCATTGTGAGATTGGTAGACGATCTCCACAACGTTCAGCTTGCACAAGAGCATGTAGAAATGGAACTTGTCAACCTGATAATACATGTCTTTGTGAGCCTGGTTGGTTTGGAAAGTTATGCAACAAAAACAAACCTTGGGCTTGAAAATAGAAAAATACTTTCCACTGGTGGTATTATGTCTATAACCAATTGGATTAATGCAGTAAGATTTCTCATCTAATTTTATTTAGATTGTGTTCACTCATGAGTTTAAAGCACTTCTCACTACAAACCTCGCATTTAATTTAATGATTTTTATATACTTAAGATATTAGATACTCAAAAACTAATGAATCATTAATTTTACAAAGTATTATTTTGTAGATTAAATAACAGCATTTTAAAATCCAATTGGTTGATACCACTCAAACTAACACATGTATAGTTAGTAATTTACCCCACCCCAGTATTGTTAAATTTATTGATTAATGATTGTAAAAAAAATAAAATGTATTTTCTCCCTTATAAATGATATTCTTTGGTGTTGATTTTGGTTAAATTACGTATCACTTTAAAGCACATTCACATATGATATACAATTAAGACGAACAATTATTTACGTGAACTTTCATTAGGATAACGTGTAAGTTAAAAGAAGCAATCATTATTACACAAACTATACGAAGGAAGAAGAATCGCGTACCCACGTAACTTCGTCCGAATACGAAACGTCAAAACAACGTGCAAGAGATGCTGTTTCTGGCGAAGTTTCAGGCGGTACGAGTTTAGGTTAGGAACGAGACTCGACAACATCGTTCCAGGGATGCTGAGAACAGGAGTCACGTGTTTCAGGGCCCAATAAGAATGTAGATCGGGTGGACGCCATAACGCGTACCCCAGTGGTACTGGCCAATCACGTTATTCCAGACCCGTATACATGTATATGGTGTTCGTGTTTCCGAGGTCGCTGGTACCTTTTTGCGGATTCTCACGGGAAATCGGTGAGTGCCGAAGAAGTATCGGTGCGTTATTAGCACGTAAGTGATCGTTGAGGGCCCGGGCGATGCGCGGGTGTTGCGCATCCGCGAAATAAGGGCAATTTCGCATCGTCTGCTTGGAGTGCACCGCGCAGGCTCGCTCAAAATGGCCGCCTCGCTGCCGCGTTTGTTGTGGTGGAGATGGAGAGCAGCGTAGCCGATCGATACGCCTGCTGGCGAAACTGGCCATGGTGTCTATGGCGGCTGCTGTGCGTGTTGTGGCGTGGCGCGACGTACACGCGAGTTACGGGCGGTGAGATAGAAGGTCGCGTGCTAGCCTCACGGTGGTGGTGCTGTGCGGGTGAGCGTTTGACACGGGTGGCGAGATGACCGCGAGACGCGAGCGTAGGGCGTGGTGAGAGAGCGTAGCCGACGGCGGCCTCCCCGCAGACGCGAAACCCTGAGCCCTCCCTGATCGGGTGACCACTCACGGGACACACAAGGTGCGTACGCAACTCGCGATTTTCACTGGGCCTGCTCCATGGCTCCGCGGTACCGCGGTCATGAGCTTTGCGGCCCCGGAGGTGGTCTCTTTTGCGTGTGCCCTGCGCATTTTCATTGCCCCCCCAAGTATCACCAAATAAACGCGCCGTGTGCGCGGCTTGGCGCATCCTCTCTCTCTGTTCTCATATCTCGTCACGCTTTGCCAAGCCACGCTCTTGCCAGCCTTCTTAACAGGCCGTCCGTCGTCTGCCGTCTGTCGCCTGTCAAATTCATTCATCGAATATTAGTATTACTCGCTGTCATGTCGAGTTTAACATCGGTTCATCGTACTTCATCCGCGATTCACGAATATCCCTTATCTATGCACGGAACACAGCGACGACGACGACGACGACGACGTTTACGTTTACGTTCACGTTACGTCTTTCCGCGCTCTCCGTCTTCACGAAGTTCTTTTACGTGCCGCCCGCGTATATCTTACGCTTAAACAATGCGTGCGTGTCCTAAATGTACGCGCGGGAAACGCTTACGCCTGAGGTTCTATGTTTTTATTTCTGAAATTCATCCAGTATGTAGCATCATTATCCTGGATTCTTATCTACTCTACATTATCCTTATCACCCAGTATGTTTCATTGCCATAGTTTTCTACATAAGAAAGATTACATGAGTTTTATTAGGTGCTGCATTTGCTGACACTTGTGTTCCTTGTTTGTAGTTTATGTATTGGGTATACAACTATATATTTGTTTTTCTTGTATTCTTGAGTCATCAATTAAAAGTATATAGATGCTACTACTATTTGTTTTGGTTGCTCTTCAAACTAAATTTTAGTATAGTTACCATTCATAGTTTATCAACTTTATTGTTCTTTATTATTTATTTTTAATTTATTTACAATTTAGGGGTATATAAATTAAATATATTGAATACATAATGGGGGTAAATTTTAGTTTTGAAAAGCTTATATTTATTTTGCATTATGTAGTTAATTATATTACTTGATTGAAAAAAATAAAAAAGATACATTTTTTACACTTGGTTAAATAATTGTTTTATGTAATTTAAAAAAGTACACATTTTAAGTTTATTAAAAATATATTTTTTAAACTTTTTATTTACACATATAACTATAACAGAATATTTTTTATTTCACATACTATTTCTCATACATACTTGTTCCTTTTAATATAGGTGAAGGTGATGTAGAAAGAAAACCAGAAATCAAAGATTGACATCTGTTCTGACGGGGCATTGCAATATAACTGAGGACAGCACGGGTGACGAAGTAAAGAAGATGGTATCTCTGCCCAGTGCAGAGTCTGGCACAATGGACAGAATCTCAGATGACGATGATGACGAGCCAAGTAGTGGGTCTGAAACTTATGAGGAGGGTGACCTGTTGACAGCTGCTATGGATGATGACGTGACGGCCCAGCTCGCCGCTGCAGGTTGGCAAATCAAACACGCTAATGGTGATTTCCATTTTTTTGCTTTTTCACCTTTTGAGTTATTTATGTTCTAATCATTTTCATTTACAAAGGAAAGTAACATACAGGGTGCACCAATAATGTTAAATGATCGAGTCCCATGAATAGGTACAAGGAAAGAGTTAGTAAAACATTTCATAAATTACAGTTTTAAAATGGTTTATGTTATTCAATTTCCATTACTAGTATCAATGATAAACATGCAATATTAATTTTGATATCAAGTGATTCATATAATATAATTTAAAATTCTTTGAATTGTTCAAACATAAGTAATTAAAGTCATATTCTATAACATTGCAATAGTCCTATCTTTGAAGAAGTGTATACATGAATAGGCTTGAAATTACCTTGATTTATGATCAACAGAAATATAGAAGTAAATACTGCCTGCCAATGATACACCTAATTTGGTAACTATTAATCAATTCAAATACAAAGAGAAGGTTCTTAGGAATTCTAATATCATTAACACATCAAGTTCTTTGTTTCTTTTACACATTCTAAAATGAACAAATAATTTTGTTGAGTTTGATATTTATATCATTGACAGTGCAGCATGAATTTATTTTTTTTTCATCATCCTAATTTAATCTTTTTTTTAAAGAATGAAAGATAATGGCACATAATACAAGTCAAAAAAATGTTGATAAGAAACACCATTATTGAATGCATTTTACATTGTTTGTGTGCTGTATTATTATTTGCTTTATGTTTTTAATATCTTACATGGAAACACTGTTTTATGTATTATATATTTTTTTAATTTTGCATTTTATATGTATTCCTCATTTGCATATTTTAGTATTATTCATACATCATTTTTCTGTGTGTTCATTAAAACATCATAGCTTTAATATTAGATCAAAATTCATCATCTTTCAAATTTGTGTGCACCATTTTGTGCAGTAAACTTATTTTTGTTATGTTTAGTATCTAAATATTATAAAAAAGTGTAATATTTTGTAGAAATTCATTTTCACAAAATTCAAGAGTATATATTTAGTTTGTTTCCAAATATCTCATCTCTGCTCTATTTTTATAAAATATTGTTTAATGTTATATATGTATAAGTTATACATGAATCATATGTTATGTACTCTTGGATATCAAGCACGTTTCATATCACTACTGCTTTGCATCTCTTATGTTTTGAATGAACTAAAGATATATATGTTGATGTGTCAGTAAAATATGTCAGCAAAAATTTTCAATATAAGTATCACAATGTATAAAATTTAATAACTTGTATTCAGTGTTCCTCAATATTACCAATATTTTACTGACATTTTATTTGGTGTGGGATAATAAAATTAGAAAACATATGGTTAATAATATGCACATTTAGGCCCTGTTGGCGTAGCCGCAGCCGCCGCCATTGTCTCGGCAAAAAAGAGGAAACGACCTCATAGTTTCGAAACAAATCCCAGCATCAGGAAGAGACAACAAAATAGACTCCTAAGAAAACTCAGAGTAAGTCATATGTTATCATGCTTCATTGTATTATTTGTATGTATTATATATTAATTTATATGTAAATATTTTTACAGCAAACCATTGATGAGTTTGCGACGCGAGTTGGACAACAAGCAGTAGTATTAGTAGCTACACCAGGAAAGCCAAACAGTAGTTATAAAGTATTTGGAGCGAAACCGTTAGAAGATGTAGTAAAAAATTTAAGAAATGTTATAATGGAAGAACTCGAGAACGCGCTCGCACAACAAGCTCCGCCACCAGTACAAGATGACCCATCTTTATACGAATTACCACCTCTAATAATAGATGGCATACCTACACCCGTGGAAAAAATGACACAAGCTCAACTTAGAGCATTTATCCCGTTAATGTTAAAGTATTCTACAGGCAGAGGTAAACCTGGTTGGGGGAGAGATAGTACACGGCCACCCTGGTGGCCGAAAGAACTACCTTGGGCAAACGTGCGTATGGATGCAAGGTCTGAGGACGAGAAACAAAAGGTTTGTAAAATTTAAGAATTTCAAAATGTTTTTTGTTCAAGTCAAGGAAAAAATATTCTTAATTATTTAATATATTTTTTTATGGATTTTTTCTTTAGATTTCTTGGACACACGCGTTAAGACAAATTGTAGTAAACTGTTATAAATTTCATGGAAGAGAAGATCTTCTGCCTGCATTCAGTGAAGAGGATGATAAATCAAACGTACTGATACAACAATCGACGCCTCATTCCTCGTCGCATCCGTCGCATTCATCCAGTCAAGGGCAAGGTGGACAGTCGCAACAACAACAACAGACGGTGGGAGTTGTTCGCCTCAGCAGCTCGGATTCATCTAAGGGAAACTCTTCGCCAGCACAAATCATTGCCGCGTCTCCTACAGCTCTTGCCACTGCCACTCAGGTGGGAGTGGATGGAGTACAAAAAAGAATTGAATGAAACAATGTGATCGAAAAAATTGAAAATTAATATAGCTTCAAAGTACTTAAATTTGATGCAAATTTTTACTATTATGAGATCATAATGTTTCCTTAAATTCTGATTCTGTATAGAGAAGAATTAGAATTTGAAGTTCCTTTACTCGTGACCTGCATTTATGTTCATGTGTTTGGTTTCCCTTATTTGAGTTTGATCTATCTTTATTTCTATAGTGTAATTAATTTGAAACGTCGTACTTTGCGAAACATTTTATTTCAATACATTCTGCATCGTGTTTCTATATTTTTTCTATAGTTGTACGATATTTTGCTTTTTACAGTATTTTAACAAAGAATATACCACAATCATCATAATCGATATTTCCTTTTTGTATTTCAGATGACGGCTCAGTATCCAACGGCAGTTTTACAAACCATAACAAACCCTGATGGTACTGTTTCCATCATTCAGGTTGATCCTAGTAATCCAATAATTACGTTACCAGATGGTACAACAGCTCAAGTTCAAGGTGTTGCTACCGTAAGTTGACACAAATCATTTTTTTATATTTCATTTTATTTCTTGAAATGTAAAAAATAAAAAGAATGAAAACAAATGTTTTGTATGTACAGATCCATACAAGTCAAGGAGAAGTTCAAGCACTCGCTGAGGTAGCAGGCAGCGCGGAAGGTACTAGCGTTGCCGTCGACCTGAACAGTGTTACAGAAGCGACATTAGGTCAAGATGGTCAAATCATTCTCACAGGAGAAGACGGACACGGTAAAACAGTTTTCTATAGGCTCTGCACCGTCGCCGGCCAGGAGCTACTTGAACAGTGAATTCATTTTTACTGGCCCAGGATCCTTTGTTGTTTTGCATGCTGTCTGCTACGCTCCATTCAAGAAAATACCTACGTGTTCTACTACTTTGTACAACGAAAGTAGAATATCGATTAGTTTATTCTTTTTTTGGTACTGTACATACGCAATTTCACTTGGAGCTATGCACAGCTTTATTTTAATTTCTTCTTTAAGAATCCATGATACATATTAGGAAACTGCCAGGGGAGCCATTCTGAACACATATGACGTATTGATTTTTTACGAATCACATTTAAATGTTGCGTGAAAGGAAAAAGATGAGATCTATAGAATTACAGATTGCTCTCGATATTGTGTCGTTTTGTATGTGTTTGTGTACATTAGACTATTCTCTGTCGGAGATAATAAGGTTCGAGTTTTTAGAAGGAGATCGATAATGAACAAATAAAAGTAAAAAATTCGTATATATGTATATGCATGTACATACTATTTTTTAAATGTGTACTCCTCTGAGTAAAAGTCAGATAGATTTCAGTAACATTCTGCAATGTGTAAGTCGTAAACGTGAAAACACGGGTAGAATCGATTGGTTCACATGGATTCTTAAGATTTTAAATTTAACGAGAAAAAAAATAAAGGAAGGTATTTCATGATCACAAAAAGAACCTATCCCTGTTCTACAATCACTACTTACCATTACTACCGAAGATTGGTTATTTACTTTAATTAAAACAAAGAGAAATAAAACTGCTGTACATAGAGTATTTTTTGTTGATGTTTTTATTATTTTATAGTTGTTGTATCTGGGCAGCCTTTGTTTAAGCTACTCACGATCGTCATCTTCTAATTTATTCGAACCAATAAATTATTTTGAATATAAAACTCGTATTTATATAATTTATACGCTCATCCAACATTGATCTTATGGAATGGCTTAAACATCTGTTGCTTTTTATTAATGCCTTATTTTTCTGAAGCGTAGATGTGAATTATGTTTGCACATTAATGATATCACGTTAAAAGGGTGTGCCAGAAAAAAAGATAACGCTAAATGTGGAAGAAAAGTAATCATTTTACAAAATTAAACTTGATACTTAACATATAGTAAGTATATCTACTTTTCTTCAGCACACCCTGTTAATTTAAAATTCCCTCTACTTTTTATCAGTTTTATATATATGGTACGATATATATTTAATTTGTAGATTAAGTTTTAGAAAATTCTTGTAGTCTGTTAAATCTTTGACTGTATCGTAAACTGGTAGTATCGGTACACTAATCCAAAGAAATCGAAGACGTAGCAGTACATTCTTCAAATAAAGATATACGTAACCTCGATGATCGAAGATATACATACATATGAATACATGATTTTCGGATTATTCAAGTTGTATTTTTTAATTCCCAGTTTGCTATACAGAAAAATGCCTGATCAGGGGCAGAACACAGGACAGTTAATTCTTTGTTTCAGGCTATCCTGTTTCCGTGTCAGGAGTAATAACAGTACCAGTGTCTGCTAGTATGTATCAAACTATGGTTGCCAATATTCAAAGTGACGGTACGATGCAAGTAGTCACGCCAATGGTTCAAGTACCGAAAGTTGAGCCAGGAAATGGGGAAACTAGCATTGAGGCTGTCACTATACAAGGGCATCCTATGACAATGATAAATGCAGCAGGTGAACACCAAGTTCTTCAAGTGATATCATTGAAGGATGCTAATGTCCTCACAAAGGCCATGCAGGCTGAAGTTGTAAAAGATGAGGACAGTCAACAACAACAAACCGTCTCTAGTCCAGAATAAAGCGTTTTACATAGTTAATACTAAAGCTTTTATGTTAACACCAAAATGCGACAGGTGCACATTAGTGGTGTTCATGAGAGAAAGAGAGTGAGAGTATTAGAAATGATATGTGTTATTAATTTTAAGGAAAAAATGATTGTGTCTTTTCTGAATCATTGTGTAGTGTGTCCACTTGTTGATGAACAGTAAACAAGAAATAGAGAATATGTTTGGAGAGTGAAGTAAAAATGATTGAATGTTCGACGACTCATTGGACTTGAATGTAATCATATTTGTATTCAAGATTCATTGTAGACACTTAGAGTATTCACTTGTAATTCAAATTTTCTCGAAGATAGTACTAATTTTTAGAAAGTACTACATGCGCTCGATGAATTGCAAATTTGTAGGTTTCATCGATGTATTTATAGTGGCTGTATCCGCCGATTGGGAATTAACCATTTTCCAATAAGCGAACACCGGATACGAAAATATTTTCGTCTAGTCTTAGTGTCGGGTCCTTAAGAACGATCGATATACCAAAGAATTTAAGGATTGCGTTAAGTTATTTTACGAAAGAAACGATCATTAGAAATACGTAATTTAATTATATCAGATTGATAATCTGAAAGGAATTTTAATTGAATGAATTGATACTATAAACAGTATAATTCATAGCGAATTCATTCGTCGAACTCGTCGATAAGAAATATTTTTTCGGACAAAAATAATTCTCAATTTATTTAAAGTTTTCTAAATATTTGTAAAAAACTCTGTCATATACGAAGAATCTACTTAAGGTTCGATGAAAATTAACCGACATTTCGTCGTATCAGGATTCCGATCTAACTGTAATATTTAAGTTAATCTAATTTGGCTATAAAATTGAACAAAAAAGATATATGTAGCCTATTTTTATGATAAATTGAGATATAAAAATGAGTCATTTTTTTGGCGATAGAGACATAACGATACATATTAATATACATTAATGATCGACAGTAGCGATAAATGAAAAAACAAAATTAAGCATTTCTGACGGGTACAAATAGGCTATAAGACATAATTTTTTGAAAAATAAGACATGGATTTGAAGTCTCAATGCACACCCACAAAACATATTTACTTTTATCGTATTAATATTACGTTATATTAGGAAATTATTTTAAGTGATGCTATAAAGAACACTATATAATTCTTACAAACGGAAATTTGATCCTTTCATTTCCATTCTGTTTTACCTAGGTAATGTACAGAATGTAGAAATAAAGAATCATGTATTGTTCTTTAATTTTATTTTCAGGTAATCTGAAGTGTATTTATTTTTGTTATTAATGAAAAAAAAAAGAATCGAAACGTTTCCATGCATTTAAATGCCAACTCACTTTTATACAATATATCTAAAGTTAGGAAAAATGTTCTTTTTTCTGTGCAATCTTGTTTCAATGTTGCGGTGTTAAATTTTGCAAGGATGTGTGATTGATTTTTGAGAATGAATTTTCGTTACTCTAACGATCTTACTTACATTTTTATACTTTTTAGTATCTTTACATGCTAACTTGTGTGCATTATAAGTATACATATATAGTTTCCGGATTATTCTAATAACGAGTTTGTGATACTTATTTAATTAATGTTTATTAGTACACATGTTTTTATCATGAATGAAGTTCCTGTAGGTGTGTAGTACGCTCTTCTCTTCAAAGCGTATGTCAGGAGTAGAGTCGTAACATTGAAACAACAAACTGCCCGCGACACCAAGTATGAACGATACCAAAAAAACGTTTTTATAACATTATAGAAGAAAGTAGTTAAATTTAATAAATATCAGTAGAACAGATCACGAAGACTAGGTCTTAATTGTTATATTGTTTTTTAAAACTATGGCCATTACATACAAAATGTAATATATTGATACTCCTATGTAAGACCATGTTGTATTTTTTTGTTCTTGTTTGTAAGAAATCACACAGAACGTAAATTAAGTTTAATGTCATTTGAAAAAAAAAAGTATGTAATACCATTTTAGATAATTATAGATGTACACATACATGACTTTATCGCTGTGTATCTTACAATGTAATTTGTACATAAGTCGTCGTTGTGTCACCTTTCTGCTTTGGTTACTTTTCATGTAAAAAGAAAAAAAAATCGTAAATTGAAAAATATTAAGAATTTAGAAGCAACATGAAGAACCAATGGAAGTTGCAATTAAAATATAATGCATACATATCATTTTGTTTTGTTTATCTTAATAATCTTGGTAAATATTACATAAACATTAATTGTTTTATATATTTTCCTAATTAATTAATGATGTGCTTCATACATGAAATAGAATGGCATAGCATAAGAAATATTTATTTCATTCAATTTGCAATAACATAGATGGAAAGATAAGAGGTACTTTTCTATCCTGGTGAAACAATTGATCCTTCGGTTATTTGTGAAAAGTCTAGTAGAATTTATTTCTATGCATAAATACTATGTTTATTGACTTCAAGTAAATAATTTAATGTATATCATCAACTGACTGAAGTGCTAGTTCAGGCTTATCATAACCAAGTTCTTCTAGTGTGCTGACACCGAGTTCATCTAAAGTAGGTTGGATTTCTTGTAAGATGTAAGGATAAATTTCTTTCACTTTAGCTCCACATTTATCCTTTACAATCTCTAAAATTCTTACAGTAAGAGCGTAATCGTTCAGTCGCCTGCAGGCCTTTAATGCTGCACATATGATACTTGGGTCAGGGACAAGATCCATACCTGAAAAAAATACTAATTGTCGTAACAATTGTTGTTATTTCAATACAGCTACCTAAGTAAATAAAAAGGATATATTCGAACGAATTTTCTGAAATTGAAATATTACTGTTCGATTTAAATACCCACAATAATTAAGCCTTAAAATGTACTAAACATCGTAATGAATAATTTCAAATTATCAAAAAATGACAATCGCAAACGTAGAGTGAAAAATAACTGTATAATTACTAACCAGCTAGTTGATTAAAAACTTGACGAATTTCCCAGTTATCGATATTTAATCGGTTTAGATAATCAACGTACTTTTTGTTAAATTCCTCCTCGCTTAATACAGGTTCATCGTGCGAAGCACGAATATTTTGTACCGCGGAAGTATTGCGAGGAATTATCGAATTCCTTGCAATATTATTTACTTGCCTTCCCACAAATCGCAACATTGTTCACAAAATTTCACTGAAGATTCAAAGAATTTGACGACAAGGACACTGAGCTACTTCTTGCGTAATTCCCATAGAAGATGGAAACTTGACTCGTATTCGATCCTAACACTTCTACCAATCTAAGGTTACCAAACGTTCATCTGATGTATTCATGCCGCGTTTTTCAAGCGTTGTATTCACACATTTTCCTATTATTTTTATATTAGTACATAGTTACAATTCAATTTTGAACACAATAAAATGCATGCGTAATTTATTATAAAATGTTCCTTAAATAATAGTAATATCGAAGAAAACAAGAAAAGTTAACTAAAAAAAAATATAATATGAAAAAATTATATAAAACCAGTATTATTTTTTTAATGTCTTTCTGTGACTTAAAGTAATTGTTTATCAGTAAAGAACACAATAATTTTTGTTCGACGCATAAAGAATAGTTTTCGTTAATATTAACATTTACTTTTAATAATTATAAGTGTGTTATACTAACAATAATAGTACAAAGAAAGTATACTTTATCTGTGATAATAGAAAGTCGTCAATTTTTTCAGTATGCAAATTTATCCCTAATGTATTTATCGCATGTCATATGTTTGAATACGCGTCAGTTATAGACGAGTGTTGATTACGAGCAAATCAAAGTACATTAATATACTATAGTGTGATTATTAATTGTGAGAAAATACTTGAAAGAGAGTGGAATATTTATTTCTGGAAATATTTGGATATGGATATGGAGTTGGATATGAATTTGGATGCGGAGTTTCATTGCTTACCACAGTATGAAAGATTTTGTAATTGTACTTTCCAGGATTGTTGTTGTGGAGAAACCAATGGTATGGTAAAATAATTTCAAGATAGAGTTAGTATATTTTGTCCTAATTTTTTTGTATGCATTTACAGTACATGAATGGGTATGGGATAATAAAAATTCCACATATGCTATTGTTTTATCAGAAAATAACCTAGAAGTTAAGCTTCATGATGAATATAGTCTTGGTACAGCAGTTGTAAGAGGTAACAAATTGCTAGAAAAAGGAAGACATCATTATTGGGAAGTTAAAATGCTCACTACTGTTTATGGAACAGATATTGTAGGTATTTAATAAAAATTAATAATACAATGATTAATACACACATATATAAATATAATAAAGTATATTTAGATGGTTGGAGTTGGAACAAACAAAGTGGATTTAAATGGTCCAAAGCAGAGTTTTTGCTCTTTTCTTGGACTGGACCAAGAATCTTTTGGGTTTTCTTATTTAGGATACATACAACATGCTGGTAAAAAACACACTTATGGTCCCTGCTTTGGAAAAGGTAGTTTAGTAGGAGTACATTTGGATACATGGAAAGGAACCTTAGAATTTTTCCTCAATAGAAAATCATTAGGTAAATTCAGAACATGATAAACATCACCATACCTCTTTATATTTTCTTAGGATGGTTTTGTTTTTAGGTATTGCTTTCACTGGATTAAGGGATATTATATTGTATCCTATGGTGAGCTCTACAGCTGCACAAAGTATGATGAAATTGACTTGTAGTTGTTCTGTACCAGTATCTTTACAAGTAAAATGTTTATCCATATTAAAATCATCACACAGAGCTTACATATCAACTATGTTTCCTGGATTGCGTCATCTTACACAAAGCATCTTTGCAGATATATTAAAAGCCCAATCAAGTAAACAGAATCATCATTTACACAGAAATGTATTATAAACAAACCATATGTATAATCTTTCTTTTCAGATGAGGAGGATGATGAGAGTGAAAAAGATTAAATCATATTTTTTGACAGATCATATGATTTTGGACGAGTTTTACTTTGCATTAGCAGATGCTGGTAAACAAATATATAGATTTGATTTTTGGATTTTTTATTTGTACTGTTTTTTACGTTTCTGTCTTGATGTGGCAGTACCAGCAGTATCATTAAGTTTTGCACAGAAAACCACAGCTTGAGCCCATCCAGCCAAGGGACCCCATAATTCGCGTAAATGATTACTAACTTCTTGATGAATTTTTGGGGTGACTGCTTTATGCTGTCCTAAATGAGGTAAATAATTTTTCCTAGCAATTTGGAAAATATGAGTATCAACAGGAATAGCTTCTAAATATCCTAATGACATTAAGCATATACAATCTGCAACTTTTGGGCCAATCCCAGGAAGAGTAATTAATTGCTCTCTAGCTTTAGCATATGATATATTGTTCTTTTTGTGTAAATTTAAGAGCCACTCTCTTCCACCAAGTTCTATTAAATTTTTTGCCGCCTTTGCTATGTATCCTGCGCGATATCCAAATTTTTCCTCTTTTAGTGTACTTTCTACATTTTTCCCTGTTAATGCTTCAATGGTTGGGAAATCATAGTAATCCTTATCCTCAATTGTACAAATTTTTTCTCCAAATAATGTGCATAATTTTTTTACCATTCTTGATATCCTGAAATGGTAACATATTTGAATAAAATAATTTAATAACTTAATTTATTAAAGTACTCTCCTACAAACCTCTGTATGTTGTTATTAGAACTGCATATGAAAGAGAACAAATTCTCAACAATATCCTGATTTAATATCCTAACACCTTTTGTATTGTTTAAGGATTTTTCAAAGTAATGATCTGCTGCAGACCATTTTTTGCAGAGGTCTTCCAAGGATACATCCAATCTGAAGTACTCAGATAAAATATTATCATAATTTTTAGAATCTGCTAGCAAACCTTGTACAATATAGGACAGATGCGTATCGTTTTGTGTAAGGGTCCAAACACATCCGTTGAACACACCTCTGAATCCATTATTGTAAGAAAACCACCTAAAGATATTTTTGAAATTCGCGGGTAAATCGTACCGACAATCGACAAATACTAAAAATATGTTGGTTATGTCTTTTCGATTAAATAAATATAATATAATTAATAAATTACCTGAAACTTTGACCTCCTTTCAAAGTGATACCCAAATTTAACTCGGTTGATGGACAACTAATTTTACCGTGCTTTATTTTTACTTCATCGTTGTGCATCTTCATGTTTAACCGTCTTGAATTTCTTATGAAATCAAATTTTACACTTCTTATTTATGCGCAACATTTAATATTTGACAGTAGAAACATAGAATGACACAAAATTTTGATTATTTATAAATAATTAACGCTTATATACGTTTATCTTTTTAGTATGACAAACCGTACTTTTTTTTAACAGGCAGTATGACAGGAAACACGTGCACGTGGTTAGCGCGCGAAATTTAAATTCGAACTCAAATTTGAATGAAATGCGGGAAAAATATTAACAAAATTATTATGATCTTTCATAAGGTTTTATTGTAATTATTCTCGTAGTATGTTTTATCTTTTATTACAGATGATAGTACTGTGTTCCTATGATACATATTTACAATGATGTACCTACTTATTAAGGTTTTTGATAGTCTGCCAAGCGTGTGAATTATTTTCATTTATACAATACGAAGAGATTATTGCGTATTCAACTTGTTACACATTCTGTATCCTTTGAGATATTTCGTTTGAATAGTATGATTCAGTATTTAAACACTTCTATATAATTACAATTCTGATTTATCCTTTAATATTTTTACACATCCCAAAAGCATACTTCATTCATACATAAATACAAACATACCGAAAACATGCACGAACACAAATAACACCAAAATCAATGTTACCATATACATAGACGAGCAAAATTAATTAAAAATAAACGATCGATTATGCAGAATTTTTCGACCACAAATCCCAATATTTTTCTAAGTGCGAAAGAGTTGACTCGTTTTCAGTTCTTAATGATCACCTTCGATGACAATTTCGACCAAACTACTTCTTAATATATTGATTCTTTCTAGCTTTCCCATGCTTGAAAAATTATGCTACTCATGATATGTACAGTTTCATTATAATTTATCTACAGAATAATTTATTTGGCATCTTTTTACGACGATAACGACTACATAGTTAGCATATAGATAATAGAAATTATACCCTGTCTATTTCGAACGATTTCATTTCTCAATTTCATTCACTATTACACACTATCATCGAATAAAAAAGAAAAACAAGCACCTCCAACTTTCAAAAAGAATCAAACCTTTTAAATCCAAAAATCCAAAGTTGTGAATCAAAATTTACGAACCAAAATATATCACGTATAATCCATACGTAACAAGTGCGACTGGTACCAATTGTTTCAAATAATCCCCAATATTCAACCACCAATTAATTCTTTCATCATAATCAAGACTAACATCAAGAAAGAAAATTTCATCTGAAAAAGAATTATTTCCAACTGTTCTAACCCTTACTCCCTCTATCCAGACCACTACTACGTATTGTCATTCGTGAAATCAGACGGTCAAAGAGGATGATTGCTTTATCTCCAGCTTCAGTTGTCCGAGCACGCCCCTTGGGCATCGCCGAACACACTCGATAAACTATTACATCCCTGAGAATTGGTATTGACATCTCTAGAAGAAGAATTATTCCCAATGTTCTCCAGTCATTCTCTAATTTCTTTCCGTATTAATAATAAGGAACATTGTCGCGAACGTGAGCCTGTTTTCTATACTCGTGATGTTGGCACTTGCCCATCCAGGACCATTTTGTGCAAACCTTCTGCGGCTTCAGTATGAAACACTTCGTTCTCAGAACATCGAAGAAGATCTTGCCGATAAAATTCGCTGGTGCTGTACCAGCCATCTTCAAGCATGTACGAAATCTGTAAAAAAAAAAAAAAGAAAAAAGAAAATGGTCAGATCAGAATCGTATTCATGGTGGGAATCTTTGGCCAAGATTTGAGAATGCAATCGACAAATGCAATATACCGTTCGTCGCAGGTACAATGCATCATGCTCGAGATGCCCCAGTTGAAAAGGCCGTAGCGCGTCTCGAAGGCAGGGATGAAAAAGGGACACGCGGTGTCGTGTCGGCGACAGCAGGCGTCCGCTGTGCCAAAACCGCCCAGATTCGTGTATTTCGTGGCACGGTGACCGCGGCCACACCATTGTGTCCCAGGGATCATCAGCAGGTCCCTTCGCGACCGGCTTTTGCCTCGTCTCTGCCGGTGGCTGCTGCTTGTTCTGTTCAGGAGCTTCGAATATTTCCTATATCGTATAACAATGGATGAAATGAAGTTTGCATAAACGACATTCAAGAATTTTCTTGGAAAATTATGGCCTTGTAGAAGTTTGGAAGGCTGACAGCGATTTTGACATATAATAAACAACGAATTATTTGAGGTTAGAAGAATAGACAAAAACAGGCGGGAAGTTAAAACGGTTAAGATTGACCATTGAGGCTCATTGAAGATTCACACTGCGTGAAATTCTCATTCAAGATTCTAATCCATGATTTTGGTACCCCTGAAAGACATACGTCAAGAATTTTCCATTCAAGATTCACAGTTGTACCTTTTTTTATGACTTTGTACGAATAGAATAGAATAGTACCACGAAAGCTTAGAAGAGCATATTTTTTTTTTAAATGTATCAATAATACCTTCGTCGATGTTGAGCAACCAGCTGATTTCTCGCCCTGTTCCTCACATGGGCGCACCGATGACGCAGCTCAGACGTGGATGAGAGCCAGGAGAGGCTTTCTGGAATTCTCAACGCGTCCTTCTGCACGTCCACGTCGAACAACTCGACAGACGCTCCGTCATCGTCGTAATCGTCGACAGAGTGTGCACTCGAAGTACAGGATCCCTCGTCATCATCGGTGAGCTCTTCGTCCACACAGTCGGTCAGCGTGTCACCCTCGTATATCAGTTGCAACTTTCTGGCCGTCTCCTGTAGCCAGACTTGCCTCAGTGCTACGTCTGTATCTCTACCGAGGACATATACATGACATTCAATGATTCTAACAATGATACAGCAAGAACTTTGAAATCTCGATTGAGTTATTTTTACGTGCATTCGATCCTTTCGATCGATAACGAAAGAATGTGATTTCGAGAAATTCGAGTAAATGCACGAATGTTTCATATTACATCTTTCTTTAATGTATTTTTTTAATTTTTTCGAATGCTAAAGACTTTTTTGACTAATTTCTTGTAACCCAAGGTATTTTTACTAGTGCGTTCGAGATTTTTCAAACTCGATCGAGATTATCGAAATTCTTGCCATCTCCTTGTAAGTCGCATTAACGTCTTTTTTTGCAGTTGAATTATTATCTGAGGATATTATAGAATATTTATAAAATATGTTTAACTCTGGTGTAGGTTAATTAAGATATGTATAATAATTTCTGGTTGAATCATTATTTGTTTTACTTTAACAAAAAGAACGAGCATCAACCTATAAAAGGAAAGATTGTTTGATTTAAAAATATCTGTCGCCAACGACGCGTTCAAAGAAACTCTAAAACCCTAATTCCACGCAGGGCGAGAAATTCACGGTAGATTGGCCATACGCACGCGTTGCCCGATGTTTCCTCGTGATTAACGCGCACCTATGATTGATACTCCCCCGCCTTCTTTTCGACGGCCGGCGTCGATAAGCATCTTCTCTGCTCGCCATTAAATTCGTCAATGGCTGTCACCAGATAACAATGTTTAATTATATAATATCGTTCGATCTATTCTCGTTAAAATTACATGGAAAGAATCTTCGAATTACATGTACATATTCATCGAGACGGAAGAAGACTTGGTTTCTCGATGAAAAATGGATGGTTCTCTTTCAGCGACGAATCATGAGAACAGACATGCCGCGCGCGCTTTTCTCGTTACAGCAAAAGAGCTTTCACCGATTTAAGTGCAAGGTGACGTTTCGCGGTCGTGGAATTCCCTGGTATCCTCGTGAGAGCATCCGCAGATGAGTTACAACTCGCTGGTCCGAGGCCAGGCCTGAGCAGGGACGCTCCCGATGTTCGGTCGCCTGCTTCCGCCTCTAATCCTTGCTTACTTAACTTGCCGCTTTTCGGCTTAAGGCCTCGGTTGGCTTAGCGGTCACTGTCCACGGCTCCACGCGATAAATTGTTTTTCGATCCGGAAATTTAGCAACACGCGATATATACAGTCACTGGGCAAACCTACTTTCTGGAAATTCATCTCGTATTTTTTCAAGACAGTTTCTATCGTTGCGAGAAAATGTTTTCACGAAGCTTGAATATCGAAATCTTTTGGTAAATCGACAATTTTTAGCATACTTCATTTAACTCAATGGAAAATCGATATAAATCCCTTTCTCTAGAAAATCGTAGATTATATTCCACTTACAACGAACACTGATTTCAGTAAGTAAACTCTAACCTCAATTGTCGCTGACAAGACTGAAGGATGTTAAATACACAAATTACGGAAGCTATTAATGCCTAACTTCACATACATATATAACCTATGTACCTAACGTAGTCATAAAGCAAGATGTATATAGACGTCAATCAACACATTTCATTGAACATTTAATTAAATAATTTCGTTTCGTATCGAAGCTTGAGGAAGAAAAGGATTATAAGTACGTGCCGGCAGGTTTCTTTTTAAAAAAAGAAGCTGAACGTCTCGATATAGCGCGGTGTAATTCTATGAGGTTTCCGTCGGGCTGACAAGAACGCGTTCAGCAAACTGCAAACGGATGAGCCGGTATCAGCTAGCCGGTGTAAAAACGACGACGTCGCATTGAAAGAGGTAACCGATGTTAAATGCATACGCAGCCAGTCTCGGTAGCTCCCACGCGTATTGGCAATGCTGAAAGGCGGCATTGTTTTCCTCTTCGCTAACACTGACTTCTCGGTGAAGCTAGAGGAGGGTTGCAGCCACGAGTGCTCTCACACTATCCCGAGAAGAGATTTGCTCTCCTAGCCGTAAGGAAATGTTATTCCAGCCAAAGAGGATAGCACGGTGTTACTCTAACGTTCGTCGAAAAAACAGTCTAACCTAACATAATCGTGAAAAGTTTCTGACGACCTCGTTGTTCATTGGTTGTCACAATACATCGCGATCTCTTTTATCGTTGACCAGTACAATTAGGTATTGTATGAATAACAGAAGTGATTCAGTTTGACCAGCTATTTTATTTATGGTTACGTTGATTATTGATATTTTTTTAGGGATCGAGGAAATCTGGATTGCTTATGGAGAATTCTTTAATTTCATAATTATATGAAAAATTTCTCATTTCTAAAAGATTAAAAAAAATGAATAAAGACAGTTAATCAAAGTTTCCAGAGGTAACGTAAAATTTCAAGTAATAAATTTTCACAGACACGAAGAGGAAGATCGTTTACCCCCAATTGACAATGGTCTCCTTGGCGCAGATTCCAGGTAGGCGGATGACCTGTTCGAGTTCGCCGTCCTGTAGGATCCTGGTGACTGAAATACCGCGATTAGACGCGCCCCTGGCGAACCCGTACGAGGTGTTCGTGAATGGTAGAAGAAGGTTCGATTGTTGGCGAACAGCTCTGGCGTTCGGCAGCACCAGGAGCAGCCCCAATGCTAACAGCATCGGGTACTGGATCCGTACGATTCGCCTTCTTTCCCTGGACACACGCGATATTTATTGCCTCGTTAAGCTATTTGCCTCGATGCTGGCTAGCAAATTGAATTTTATTTCACTCCTTCTTATTTTATTCGGCCGGAGGAATTTGGAGGAGTTTCATGTTACATCCTCTGTAGGCCCAACGTGTTACTGACCAGTTTTTGATGCTCTTTAGATATGACTTCACTGATCTTACACGAATTTCTTTGAGAAATATATTTTTTTTCATATTTCTGTGGCAGTGTGATTTT